AAAATGACACAAATCTCTAAGCCCTCGTTCATGAATAACAACTGTACTCATCAATTAACAGGCTTGGGCAAGGTTTTAAAACTATGATGTCCATGAACAAAGCTCACATCCAGGAGGAAATGGGATTAGGCTGGGCTGATGGAGCCGATGTGGATTAGAATGAAAGCATTCTTGCTACTGGATGATTTGAAGCAACTAAACCCATCAAGGGATAGAGCGATAGGAAGCCCGAGAAGCTGCCGAGGAAATGTATGACCGACCCCATTATTTTAAATCATCTAACTTCAAGGAGAGTTGGAAGGATGCTAGGCAGGCATCCCTAACCCCCAGAAGCAATGATAATGTTGAGTTAAAGCCTTCCCAAGCTTGGAATATAGTTACTTCCCCTAGTCGTACAGGGATTAAGCTCCATCCTGTTCAACCAATACCTTCTGGCATCTGTGTGCTAGGAATATGTCAGTGAAGCATATCACTCGGATCAGTTAGTAATTGCTTCCTTGAAACATCAGTATATAAATTTACGTTGCTCTGTAGAGATAAAGAAACAATATTAAAATGATAGAAAATATAATTCTGAGAGTCTTTCATTAATCTAGGCCCCTTCTTCCTGTAAGCTCAAATAAGAACAGCTGGCTGTAGCCGATGGTCTTCTTTTAGCACCCCTCCCCAAATTCCAAGCTTCTTCCTTTCTTTTAACCTTTTTGCAAATTTCGCCTATGATGTGATTATATCAACCACCTAAAATGATGGCCCTACCATATTCACAGACCCACTTGGTCTTTTTTTTTTTTTTTATGTGGTTCATTGGTTTTTTTGGTCATGAGACACATGGGATCTTAGCTCCTTGACCAGGGATCAAACCCATACCCCATTCATTGGAAGAAGCTAAAGTCTTAAACACAAGACCACTAGGAAAGTCCCCACCTACTTGTTCTTTAAGCAGAGGTCCAGTTCCTCTCGGAAGCCTTTCTCCTTCCTGGAGTTATCTGTTCCTCCAAAAATCCTCCAGTGTGTGTGTCTTTGGCCCTGCCTTGAAATGTTATTAAATATCTTATCTCCCACATACATTACCCGAGCTCAAGGGGCCAGGTGTTCCCCACACAGAGAAGAAAGCACCATCCTATACACCTAACAGGTGCTCAGACAAAGGGAGAGAGGAAGGGAGGAAGAACAAGCTGCGGGAAGGAGGGGGAAAAGAAGGAGGAGAAGAAATAAGAAAGGACAGAGGAAAACTGAGGGTAGAGAGAAGGGGTAGGAAGAGATAAAGAGGAGGGTGCAGAGAGAAAATGGGCAGAAAGGAGAGGAGAATGGGACACAGGAAGGAAAAGAGAGATTGAAGAAGAAATAGTAAAGGACAGCAGGAGTGGAGGGGAGAAAGAGAGGAAGCGAGCAAGGCCAAGTGAGACACTGGAGGGAAGTCACACACCCCCACCCCCCACCTCACCTCAAAGTAAGATCCCAGGCACTTGAGTAGTAAGAGGTCAGAAAAGAGGGTGTGGAGACTTCCCTGGACCTCCAGTTGTTAGGACTCCACCCTTCCATTGCAGGGGACATAGGTTCAATCCCTGGTCAGGGAACTAAGATCCTGCAAACTGCTGGCCTGGCCAAAAAAAGGGAGGGAGTGGTGAAGAGAGACAAGGTCTTGAAGCACTCAGCAAGGATAAAGACAAATACCCATGGCATGGCCTCACAGATCTGGTTAAGAGCAGCTCTGCCAACTTCACTCTAAACACGAAGCCTGTGATTCATTTAAAGCTGTCTAATTATTTTTGGATGTTTTCAAATATCTTATGATTATACAGTGGTGGTGACAGTAGATTCAAGGAATTAGATCTGGTAGACAGACTGCCTGAAGAACTATGGACAGAGGTTTGTAACACTGTAAAGGAGGTGGTGGTCCAAACCATCCCCAAGAAAAAGATGCAACAAGGCAAAATGGTTGTCTGAGGAGGCCTTACAAATAGCCTAGAAAAGAAGAGAAGTGAAAGGCAAAGGAGAAAGGGAAAGACAGACCCAACTGAATGCAGAGTTCCAGAGAATAGCAAAGAGAGATAAGAAAGCCTTCTTAAGTAAACAATGCAAAGAAATAGAAAAAATAGAATAGGAAAGAACAAAGCTAGTGGAGGTTATAGAATTGCAGCTAAGTTATTTAAAATCCTAAAAGATGCTGCTGCACTCAATATGTCAGCAAATTTGAAAAACTCAGCAGTGGCCACAGGAATGAAAAAGGTCAGTTTTCATCCCAATCCCAAAGAAGAGCAATGCCAAAGAATGTTCAAACTACCATACAATTGCACTCATTTCACATGCTAGCAAGGTAATGCTCAAAGTCCTTCAAGTTGGCTTCAACAGTACGTGAACCAAGAACTTCCAGATGTACAAGCTGGGTTTTGAAGAGGCAGGGGAACCAGAGATGAAATTGCCAATATTCAATGGATCATAGATAAAGCAAAGGAATTCCAGAAAAGCATCTACTTCTGCTTCATTGACTACGCTGAAGACTTTAACTATGTGGATCACAACAAACCGTGGAAAATTCTTAAAGAGGTAGTAATTCCAGACAACCTCACCTGCCTCCTGACAAATCTGTATGCAGGTCGGGAAGCAACAGTTAGAACTGAACATGGAACAACAAGCTGAATCAAAATTGGGAAAGGAGTATGTCAATGCTGTATATTGTTGTCCTGCTTATTTAACTTCTATGCAGAGTACATCATGCAAAATACTGGGCTGGATGAATCACAAACAAATCAAGATTGCCAGGAGAAATATCAACATCAGATACCACTCTGATGGCAGAAAGCAAAGAGGAACTAAAGTGCCTCTTAATGAGGGTGAAAGAGGAGAGTGAAACACCTGGCTTAAAACTCAACTTTCAAAAGACTATTAAGATCATGGCATCAGGTCCCATCACTTCATGGACAGTAGAAGGGGAAAAAGTGGAAACAGGGACAGATTTTATTTTCTTGAGCTCCAAAATCACTGCAGATGATGATTGCAACCAGGAAATTTAAAAAACACTTTCTTCTTGGAATACAAGCTATGGCAAACGTAGACAGCATAATAAAAAGCAGAGACCTCACTTGGCTAACAAAGGTCCATATCGTTAAAGCTATGGTTTTTCCAGTAGTCATATACAGATGTGAGAGTTGGACCATAAGAAAGGCTGAGCACCAAAGAATTGATGCTTTCAGATTGTGGTGCTGGAGAAGACTCTTGAGAGTCCCTTTGATATCAAGGAGTCAAACCAGTCAATCCTAAAAGAAATCAACCCTTAATATTCATTGGAAGGACTGATGCTGAAGCTGAAGCTCCAGTAATTTGACCATGTGATGTGAAGAGCTGAGTTACTGGAAAAGACCCCAATGCTGGGAAAGACTGAAAGCAAACGGAGAAGGAAGCAGCAGAGGATGAGATGGTTGGACAGCATCACCCACTCAACTCAACAGACCTGAATTTGAGAAAGCTCTGGAAGGCAGTGGAGTACGGAGGAGCCTAGCATGCTATAGTCCATAGGGTCACAAAGAGTCGGACACAATTTAGCAACTGAGCAACAACATATTCATTTATCCTGTACTCAGCCAACACTGAACAAACACTCTGCCCTGCCTTCCAGGTTACTAGTCTAGGAATTAGGGATACAACTTTGACCAAATTCCTGTTGTCAGGGAGCTTAGACTCCCCTGGGAGGGGGAAACAGAGAGGAGACAAAATAAATAAATGAATGGTATGCTGTGCTGCACTGGGCTTATGCGCTCAGTCGTGTCCGACTCTGTGTGACCCCGTGGACTGTAGCCCGCCAGGCTTCTCTGTCCATGGGGATTCTCCAGGCATGAATACTGGAGGAGTTGGCCATGCTCCCCTTCAGGGGATCTTCCCAACCCAGGGATCGAACGCAGGTCTCCCACGTTGCAGGCAGATTCTTTACTGTCTGAGCCACCAGGTATGTTGGATGGTGGTAAGTGTTGGGGGAAAGTAAGAAAGGATGATGGAGGTGCTATTGAGAATCAAGACAGACTGGTCCGGAGGACTCACTACAAAGATCAGTTTGACCAAACTGCTAAAGGTGGGAAGGGAGGAAACCACTATGATATCTGAGATGATTCCAGGCAGAAGGCCCTGGGGCAACAGCACATCAGGTAGGTTTGGGGCATCACAAGTAGCCCAGTGTAGCTGAATCCGAGAGAGAATGAGGAGAAGATTATTGGGTAATATGGTCAGAAAATGAACAGTGCAAGGGAGAGGCAGAACATACAGAGCCTCTTGGAGGATGTGGTGAGGATTTTGGCTCTTCCTTTGCATAAACCTGGAGGCCGCAGTGGGTTTGGGGTGAAGAGTAACATGATAAGACTTTAAGTTTTAACAGTACACCACTGGCAGCAGTGTTGTAAACAGACAACAGGAAAATAAGACTGGAAACAGTGAAGCCAGTTAGAAAACAATTGGAATATTTGGGGCAAGAAAGGATGGTGGCAAGGACGCTGAGAAAACCCAGTGTAAATAAAAACCCAGTGCCTTTCCTAGGACCTGCATTTGTACATGCATTTTTTGTCGGAAATGACTTTCTCCCTGCTAGAGTTTGTGGCTGTTCAGTTGCTAAGTCGTGTCCAACCCTACGACCCCACAGACTGCATGCCAGGCTGTCCACTCCACCGTCTCCTGGAGTTTGTTCGAATTCATGCCCATTGAGTCTTTTGGTGCCTCCCAACCGTCTCATCCTCTGTCACCCCTTCTCCTCCTTCCCATACTTCAAGGCTCGTGCCCCTGCTGCCACCCCGAGTCCCCAGGGGGGACTGCTGTCCCTCCAGCACCCTGCCTTGCCTCTCTTGCGGCACTCATCAAGTCGTGTTGCAATCATTGGTTCCTTCGGCCCCCCTTCTCCGGTAAGAACACGTCCATTTCAATCCGGTTCCCAAGCACTGTTATTCAGGGGCAATAGAAAGGGGAATAAATTGCTATCCCAATTACAATCTAGTCCAGGGGACTGAACTGCGGTCGCCATGCGCACCGTGGAGTTTCGCTCAGAGCGTCAAACAAATAAGGAAACAACGAAAACTACCAGAAGCCCAGTCACCACGGCTGGTCTCCTAATTTGCAGTGCTGTTTTAGGAGTCTGGCCTGTTGCTCTGACAGCCTCCCCTGGTTATTTGCCCAGTTCTGGGCCAACAAGACACCTGCCCATATGTGCTACAGAGCTGAGAGCTAAGGATCTTTCTGTGAGACAGGGAGACCCTGTGGAAGATTCCAGGCAGTGGCGAGTGCAAGATGATTAAAGGCGGCCATAGATATATTTATTTTGTCCATAGTACTGGTGGTTGATGCAAAGCTCTCTCCCCAGAGCTTCTTGGTGACATTTGTTACTTGGCTTTTCAATCCTTAAACAGAAATGCTGTCCTTTTCACTGAATTGCTCCTCCTTTGCTAATGTTCCGTCTCCCCCAAGTCCCAGGAAGAGCATTTGACATTTGTTATTGGTACAAGAGCATCATTTGCTGAGTGTGAAAAGAACAAAAAAGGCTTTTCCCCAAGGAGGGAAATGAATGATTATCTCAGATCTCCTTACCCTTTTTCCTGTCCCTTCAGACACAACAGCAATCCACAGCCATGTTGGGCCTGGTGGGGAGCTGCCCTAATCAGTTTTTACATTCTAGCTTGGTGGAGATGAGCTGTTATTATAACTGTAAATGTTTCAGTGGAGGGTGAAGGGTGGTGCGTCATGGACTCATAGGATATGGGGGGAGCGGGAAGCTTCAGTGATGATGACTGCATGTAGGATAATGAGATCCCTAAGGATGAGTCCTGTTCCTCCAATCAATGAATGTTTCCTGAGAACCTACTGTGCACCAGGCATTGTTGTGGATACTGGAGATGACGAGCAAAAATGAAAACACCTAGTCTCTACTCTCAAGATGCTTACTGCCTAGAGGTGTTTAGCATCAATTCATTATTCACACAGATAGGTGTACTTCTGCAACTTAATAAGTAATAAGAAAAAAGATACATGATTCTGAGAATTCATAATAAGGAGAATTGAATCAGTCAAGGGGGTCAGCAATGTTTTCTGGAGGCTTCTTGGGCTGCAAACTGGAAAATTAGTTAACTGTAATGATGGATGAGAGGGGGATTCTGGGCAAGGGGAACAGCAGGTATACAAAAGTTGTCTTGCAAGAGAGAACCTGGCAGGTACAGACCAGAAAGAGCAGGAGAAGTTCCCTGAGGAAGACAGGAGCACAGATGTGGGAGGACCATGAGGGGCCTGGCTGCTGTGTTCCCTACCTCCCTGCTCTCCACTCCAGGGGCCCCACTAAGGAGGTTCTCGGTAAGGAGCCCAAGCTCTGAAGAGTAATAGCTCATTCCTTCAGCCTTCCAGCACTGACCTATGGAGCAGCATTTTGGCATCTAAAAGTAAGAATAACAGAGGAACAATTCACAGGCTCATCCCTCCTGAGATCACAGGCTGGGGGATGGGTGGAAATAGAAACACGACCCTACATCACAGGACGTGGTCCTAGCGTGTTGTGTCTCGGGGCCGCGGGCTGGCGTTGACTCGAGCAGGTGAGCTGTGGAGGGGGCGGGGGAGGCTGGAAGCGGAGGAGAGACGCTGACCCTGGAAACTTGAACACCCACTCTGCCCCCATGGTGAGCACCACCGTTACTTTCCCATCTCTTTTCTCCCAGCCCCTAGCCCTTCAGTTTCCAGTGCCATTAAGTGTAAATCTTTCTTGGAGGGTTGTTCCTCCTTGTGGTCATACAGTAACAGGCTACTAAACCTGCCTGTGGGGTGAATTATGAGCTGGTCTCTGGAGCCCCGGTCTCTGTTGCCCACGGAATGAATTGTGGTACTCTATCCAGGCGACTGGGCGCTTTATTTATTTATTTGTTTGCTTTAGCATATTTTAATCTGATCATTAAATTGCAATCTGCCACCCATCCCCACCCCCGACTGTCTTCAGACAGAACAGATTTTTCATAGGTAATGATACCTATAAACTTCAGGGGTGGCTGTCACCAGAGCAAACTGGGAAGGGAGTGGGGAGAGGTTGCAGAAACACACGAAACATACCAGCCCCCCACCCCCACCGTGAACTGACCTTGGCTGTTCTGCTCAGCCTGACCTATCCCTGGGGAGCTGGAAGGCCCACATTCTCCCAGGCAGCACCTGTGGCCTCTTCTAGCCCAGTAAACAGGTGTCTCTGCACTTTGTCCTCGAATGCACAAGGTCATCCCTGCTCGACATGGTGCTAGGCAGGAAAGGTGTCACCAAACTCGTGTTGATGGTGCTGAACGGGGAGAGCTCTGCTCTGATAAATCAAAGGCAAAAAGAATGCCAGGTGGTGCCCAGGCACCTGCATTCCCAAGGTCACCCATCTGATGGAACGCCGCTCTGCACCAGAGGGATTGCCACCTGATGGCAGCAGGGCCACTATCCTGGAGAGAGTGAGTCGTCATGGTTATAATATTGGCGACACCAACTTGTCTAGCATTTTATAAGGTGTACTGACACAAGCCTTTGGAGCCTGTCCTGTAAGCAGGTGTTATGATACCCATTCTGAAATTGAGAGGCAGGAACTGTGGAGTGAATTGCCCAAGGTAGTACTGGCTCCTAGGAGGTTCTCAACAAGTAATAGTTGAGTGAATGAACGAATGGCTTTGTGCTGCCCTCAAGCAATCTCAAAGTCACCTCTCATGATTTGCTTCTGGAATCACATCCAGAGGAAGGTCTAGGACTAAGGTCCTAGGAGCCTGCAGTGCCTACCTGAAGCAGATAGGTGAGAAATCACCACAAATGACCCAGAATTAATTCTTCTGCATGCTGGAGGGCTCCATGTTGGAAGGGGTGCTTTGGAGGTGTGGATGAGTGACAGGCAGCTGGAGATAGGGGGCCACCTTACTGTGCTGATGGACCAGGCATAGTTCTAAGGGATACATTCACTTCTTTAATAGTCTCAACAAATCTAGATACGTACTATCATAATATCCATTACAAATGAAGAAACCGAGCACAGAGACATTGAACAAATTTCCTGGAAGTTTAAAACTACAGAGTGAAGGAGCCAGGTTTAAACTTCAGCAGCCAGGCTTCGGCGTCCAGGCTGTTGAGCACTCTTCCATACCGCATCTTCTTTTTCTTCTGGAACATGCATGCTCTTGCTCTCCGGATCTCATTTCGGAATGCAGGTACAGGTGGCATGAAAGAAGTGGTTCTGGCCTAGGTGTGTGACTTGAAGCAGGAACGGAAGCTGGTAGTAGATAACAGCGGATATTTTTCTGAGCTAGAGAATTCACATTTTAAACAAACTCCCTAGTCCATGGCAAGTCTCTGCACTTTCTATAGCATTAGGAAATGGACTCAAGGCACAAGGCTACCTTGATTATTTCAAAAAATTGAAAAGTGTAGTCCTGTCTGGATATAAAACTCAGGACTTCTAGCCTCTAGTCCAAATACTAACCACAAGATCATGGTCTTTAAAATGAATATATTTTCTTTAATCAAAATTTTAAATGTTGTAAAAGCCAAACAAATGTTTCTATTCATTATTCTGTAATTAGTTTGACAATAGTGATCAAATTGCTTCTCAGGGAAGGAGGTGAATTTCCATAATCTGGGGGAAAAGAGATAACTCAGGTCATCTAATTACACATTAGGAGCTTCATACTTAAAGATACTCAAGCCTCTTTTCCAGGGTGAGCAACCATGGAAGAGTCTGTTGGTCCAACATCCTTCTATCACCCAGTCCAGTATCCAAGATTCCTTCCTGCTACCCGGCCATGGAGTCTCAGAAAGCACCAGACGCCAGAACACTCCGTGACAAGACCGGGCAGCAACAGACCAAATGTGTCCCACCGTGCCCTGAAGTCTTCTTCGAATGACTTTCCCTAGTGATAATCTTACGTAGATTGTGAGCTACCCACAGAGACGTAACCTCAATCCTGACTTCATTCTACCCAGAACCATGGACGCTGACCCTTACCTGGCTCCACTCATGACATTCAGAATAACTTTAACTGTAAATATTAACTTATAACTGATAATTATTATCAGTTAATAGTATAACCTATTATTATTGTCCTTGATTATTTTGTCAATATTATTTGTGCCCTTAAGGTTCTCAAGTTAAACAAGTGACTATGCTTTGAAGAATCATTCCAAAACAAGTCTAAAGAAATTAGCTGAATTTTAAAAGAAGTAACTTGGATGGCATCTGAGTTTCAAAAGGCACCAAAGCAACCCCCTTGCCCATCTCTCCCCTTTCCAAGCTGGACCCCACCTCCTGCCATCCAGCATGTGGGATCTGGTCTCTGACATGATGGTTTTCAACAAGAGAGAAATTTTTATTGAAAATCAGAATTTCTGAGAACTGGATTAAAGAGAAGGAAGGCAGCACCAGAGAAGGAGTCTAAACGGAGATTAGGAAATTTATGAGACGGCATGAGACAGACAAAGAACACATACTCGGCGCCTGGAAAGCCCTGGGTTTAAAAGCTTTGTTCTGCTGCCTAAGAGCTGGGAGATCATGAGCGCGTTATTCAGCCTCTCTGGGCCTCCTGAGCCTCTTCGTCTGTAAAGCAGGGATCTCAGGCAGTCAGGATTCACGAACGCTCTGTTCCAAAGGGCACAGCGCGGGCGCGACACACAGCCGTCCCCCCTCCGCCAGGTTGCCAGTGAACTGGCCCAACATCCCACATTTGACTTCACACGGGGGGCATGCTGTGAGACTGGGCTACAGACATTCTGTCTCAGAGGCCAGGCAGAGAAAAATGTCCCATCGAGGTTCAGAGTGCTTCTAGGTGCTGAGGAGAAAGCTACATGTGTAATTTGAAAATTCACACACAGGTGCCCGGGGCAAAGGATGACCCCAGCTCAGGCACATCAACTGTGTAAGGTTGAGCATCCCATCTGGAATGCTGCCCGGAGGCTGTCTTGTTCCCTGTCTCCACACACCATGCCCATTAGCTCTGAGGGTTCAAGAAACACTTTCCAGAGAAGAATGCTAAACAAAGCCCCGGATCAGTCAGATCCTGAGCAGGAAGAGAAGGAGGGGTGGAGTCAGGCCAGGTTTCAGTCACTGATCACCAACTGCTTCCTATCCCCCATGGATTTCTTGTCAATGATTATTCAATCTCAGGCCTGACCTTTCTATTCTAAATAACACTGCAATATCAGCACGGCCCAGCCCGCAGCTTTCGCAGGAAATTAACTGTATCTGGCTCTCACAGGAGACCCAAGAAATCCCCTCAGTAACTAAGCCCAGACTGGTTTACCGAAAAAAAGA